TCACCTGTTCTCCAAGAAAAACGCTAATTCTGGGCTTTGTTTCTGGCCAGAACTGGTCTGACCATCAAGGGTCTTTGTGTAAAACCAAAATTACTTCTCATTTCCAGTATTACAGATGCTGACAATGTTACCGGTGGGTGGAAGTAACACCTGACAGTTCTTTCCCTCACAAAACGTGCTCGGTTACCTCAGGAAGTATGGTTGGGTTAGAAAAAACAGATTCAATCTGAAAATAGTTCCAAGGGCAGGACCTGCCTTTGACTCGTCTTTGGTATTAATTTTAGACTTTTCAGTTCCTCCCTTCTCTCCCTAACTTTCTGTGCACTTCAGCACAGCTCCTCTGGCTCGATGCTCTGCTGCTTCTAGTAGGAGTTTGAGCAGAAGGTGGGAGTCTATTTCTAACTGACGTAGCTTGTTTTTTCTTTGAAGTACATTTCTGTGGGATGGTTGATTACGAGGTGTTGATGGGTTTCCAACTGCAACACTGTTAATGTTGGGGGATTTAATTAATTCTCTATTCTGTTCCACATTATGGTTGAGTTCTCTTCTCTTGGGGTTGAGAGACACCAAGAGTTAAAAGAAAAATCATCTTGCTGCCACAAGCAGAACATACTGCAAAATCTATAATCAGATCCATGTGGGTTTTAAACGTAAGCTACAAATATAGAAGGAGGACTGTGTGTAATGTGCACGGCAGAGGGATCGGTACGCAGGGCTTTGGGTTCTATTTCTAAACCTGCCTGCACTTGAAATGCTGCAGGTTAATTTGAGGTATTTCACGTCAAAATGACTTATGTTTGCAACAGTGAAAATCCTGTAAAACACCAAAGTGTTTGGTGTTCACCATGAAATGTTCTTTGGAAAAGACTTTACTGAAGCAGGATGGTTTGATCCATGGCTGTACTCCACTCTGCCTTGCAATCCACTCTACCTGGACTGACATGGCTTTTTGCTACCCTGTTCCTCAGGGTCAAAGCAACTGGTGTGGGTGTGCAGCTCCAGCCTGTCCTTTACAGCTCCAACTCAACCAACAGAAGCTCAAAAGCTTTTGTGCTGCTGAGCACTCAGACCTTGCTGCTTCAGGAAGGTTCCACACTGATGACCTGGATCTGCTGCCTGCTGCAGAGAGAAACCCATCTAAGCTTGTCTTGTATAATGCACAGATATCTAAGCATCCATCTTCAGAAATAGAGGAACTCTCTGAGGGGTGAAAGGAGCCGAGTCCAGCTGGACCCCAGGAGACCAACTCACTGACTTCATCAGTCTGCATTTGAACAGAAGGTTGGACTAGATAATCCACCCTGGTCCCTCCAGCTGCAGTGAGCTGGGCAGTCTGCTGCTGCTCGGAATACAGGAGCCTCCTCCCATCTCTCCAGCCTTCGAATCAAAGTGGCTTCTGACATCCCCAAACTCCAGCCCCACTGTTGGTCACCTCAAGCCCAGAGCGCTCTCCTGGGCCTGGTGTCCAACTCTCCAAGCCCAAAAGCTCGATTAAACTACTTCAGGAAAAATTCTAGAAGTACCTGCTTATTTAAAGCTTTTAGCACTCTGTAGATGGACTTACCAACCTGTTTCTGACATCTCCAATGTGCCTTACAAGAGCCATTAGTCTCTAAAAAACCCACAACACAAGGTAAAGCTCTGTCTGTGAGTTGAAAGGAGATTGGAAAAGCCAAGGAAAGGTAATGAGAGGAAATGAGAGAAATGGAAATGGTTCTCTTTGAAGTTTTACTGTCTGCCAGAGAGCTCCTGTGGCCCAGCATGAGCAAGGCGAGTCCACCAAGCTCAGCTGAGGAGCAGCGACCAGGATCCTGGGCTGGAAAACAGGAACATTCATTTTGCAGCTTTTCCAAGAGGATGTAGTGACAGGAGAACAACTCACCGTGCAATAACAAAGTCTTGGCATAAATGCTATAAAACAGATGCTGCATTTCTCAAAACACAGCTCAAAACAAAACCTGAGACAAGTTTCAGGTGTGGACGTGCCCCCCTCCATCAGCGAGCAACGTCAGACAAGCCCCAGTCTCCAACACCTGGGATCTGCAATGGCACATTCTGCCTCTGCTGTTGTGCAGAACATGTCTGTTTTCCTAGAGAAAAAACAACTTTATCTAGAGAAGGAATCATTAAATTGCTCCTATAAGGCACATGTATCTGTTTCACAGCCTGGCAGCAAGACAAATGCAGTTTGATGGAGTCGTTCTTTGCACCTCCAAATCTGATGGAGTTATTACAAGTGACTCAGATACTTTTGTGCTGGGTTTTGATATTAGTCTTGTCCCAGAGGGAAATATTCCATCTGGAGTTGGCTATAGCGTGCTGTCAGCAATTCCTAAACTTATGATGTAACTTGGCACTGCCATTTGGATGATATCAGGCTGATATCACTAAGCCAGGCAGTCAGCTCTGCTCTGTGGAAGATTAGATACAGAAGCAACAAGTATCAAAAAAGACATGATTCAGATTTTTTAGAGCAGATTGCTATTTTTAGGTGGAAACCAACATTTCTCTTCAAATTGATCTAAACCTGCCATTTACTTCTGGGAAAATAATAACAAAACAATATGAAAGACAGTCTTGAGATCTATATAAACTTGTCCTGCCAGTGACAGGACAAATGACTGCCGAGTTCAGTGGTTGAGTCGATTTTGGTCATTTTCCCATTTTGCCACCAATTTTAACGGGATGTATGGGTGATCCTTTGAGATGGCTTCTGAATTTGTGTGCAATTTGCAAATCACAAATCCATGTTCTCAACCATCCCAGTTACACAGAAACCCCCCTCAGACAGAGAAACTCCCAGATTCTGTGTGAGTCCAGCTTTTGGCACTGCCAGGGGGAGAGGTATGGGAAGGGAGACAGCAGAGGTGGAAAAGGCTTTGGCTGAAGCATCCTTGAGGAAACAAGTGGGCTGGGAATGGCAGAACAGCCCAGGACACGAGGAAAGAGAAGAGCTGGACTTTGTTGTCAGGGAGACAAGCAGTGCTCAGCTTCCAGACTGGGGAGCAGGGCTGAGCAGGAGAGAGCAGGACAGCGTGACCTGCGAAGGCAGAGCCCCAGGGATGGGCAGGGTTTAGACACCAGTTCAGACAGTGCCTATGGTTTTATACCAGGCTTAGCCAGATTCACCCAGACAACCCAGGACTATCTTAACTCTAGAAGCGTATCGTAGCATTTGATGCTGTCCATGAGGTTACATTGCAGGGAAACATCTTTGCGGCTTTTGATCAAACTCTGAAGGCATCTGGATCACCATCCTATTTACAAGTTAGCCCTTGGGACCCAAACACCAGAGAACACTTTGGATGAGCTGTCTCTGGCCTGGTCACCACTGTGAGCTCACTGACAGCAAAGCTGTTGTCCTATTACAATGCTCGGTCATTTCATTTGACTAATTCCATATCCAATTTCTTTTTTCTCCCATAACACCCTAGGGGAACTTTTAAATTGCTTATTTGTATATGTTGCCCTTATTTCTGCTAATAGAGGCACAATGGCCTTTCTACTCAGCTGTGTCCCCGCGGGTGCAGGAGCTGACTCCTGCCCCGAAGCCCCACAAGTGGCCTGGAGCAGCCTGGCCACCAGCCAGGCTCCCTGCTAGGACGACTCATTCCTCCAGCTCTGTCCTTCAAAGCTCAGGGGCAATACTTTCTGATAGACTCCATTCGATACAAGGCTCTAATACAGCTACATTTTCAAATGTACAGTGTATGAATCAGCTCAAAACATAACCCAGCTTTTTGCCATCCTCCGCTTCCAGCCAGAAAAAACCTGACCAAAGACCAAGCCACACGCCAGCCACTGCCTGTACCCTTGGATGGTGTCATTTTTAAACAAAGCTGACAGAATCAAAATCAGTGCTCCGTTACCCAGACAGGAACATTACCTTGGTGTATTAACTTGACAGGAACATTACCAGTGATGCAAGGAGATTAGTGAGTTGAGTACAAAAGACAGTGGGTAATAGTTATGAGGTCACTGGAGTTAAAAGCTAACAACTCTAAGTTTGAGTATCTCAAAAAATGGAGTTTTGTATCTGTGGAGTGGAAGGGGTGAATGGCTGCTTTTGTTTTCATAGAAGTCTGGAAAGCAGGGCTTCTGTGTTACACCCATCAATATAAAGATGTAGTATTGCACAAAAGGACATTTGTTTAATTACCAGGTACTAAATAACGAGAATTTTGCAGAAAATCAATGGATAATTTAACAGTCATGGTGCTGCATGAACAGGGAAGGGGAGAGAGAAACTGGGAGATGCTCTGGATAAATATGCCCAATATCATGAGACAAAGAGCAGAACTTTTGTGTCCATCTAACTTAACGTGAAACATTTCAGAGAAATTAGTGGCCTGGTTGTCAGAGATGCTGCAACGCGTGCATGCTCCTGAAAAGTGCCAGGAGCTGCAGAAGCTCAGGATTTTCGAACCCCAAACTTCTCCGTTTTACTTAAGCTGAGCGCAGACTCCACCCCGGCACCTGTAAACCACCTGAAATCAAATCATCAGAACTGATCGATCCTTCTCCCTTCATCAAAACAATGCCAGGGATCAGGGATGCATCAGGTGACGGGAAGCCCATAAGTACAACCACAAACATGCAAGAAGAAGCTACAGCGTCTACAAAAATCACCTGTCTCTCCCCAAAGGCTGTCAAAGCTGTTGATTTGTGCTCGCTCCACCTCCTCTTCGTCTTTTTCTGGAAGATCGAGCAGGTAGGAGACAATCTAAAACAAAATGACATGTCAGCTCACGAACTTGGATGCGTTCTATATAAAGTGCTGACATCTTAACACGAGCTGCTCTGAATACACCGAGGAAAGGGAACAATCTCTGCCTGGCACCCTGAGCTCAAGTAAATATTCTTCCAGAGATCAATCACTGAGCCTGCTGCCCTGTACAAGCAAAAAAAAAACCCCACAAAACCAAAAAACCCAACCTGAGTGTCTTGATTTGACTGAACGTGATGAGCCTTTGCAGCACCAATTCCTTATAGCTGGGTCTGTTCTGCCACAGTTGACCCAACAGCCGTATCCACCAAGGAGACCCCAGCGTGCCCAGCAGCATCGACTCACACCCCGAGGGGTGCAGTGAGCATGATCGTCCCCGTTTACTGCTGGGGAAACTGAGTCACGGGCAAGTGATCTAATGGTGCAGTTAGAATCGTTAGCCTCTTCATTATCTTAAACTCCAGCCAAGATGAAGTTACTTCCAGAAACTATTAGCTCCTTTCTAGCAAATATCGGTTTTAGGCAGACTGTTAAAAAGATTTCCACTATATTTTTCTTCCAGCTGTGGATGCTTGAAACCCCAGAGAAGCAAATTAACTTCTTTAAAGGGTAAATTAAAGGATTTAATTGACTGAAAACTGGCAGAAAATTTCAGTGTTTGGATCATGATGCAAGAAAGCAAGAGGCTAAGAAGAAAATGGAGATTTTACTTCAGTGACTGAAGGACAGAGACATTTTTCTTGTTCTAGGAGAAACAACTGCCTGCTGGGATCTAGGCTACAAGCAGCATTTTTCTGAGTACCTGGGAAGAAGCCATGCCTGCTCCACTGCCTGCAGCTGCCTGTGGGCACAGCCTGAGAGAGGCACCAGCACAGGGGAGCAGGGATTTTGGTGACGAGTGCCATTTTCCCATGACCTGCCAGTGATGCTCTAGTGCTAAACGGGACGTTGGGAATGACAGGGGCACAGGGGGAAGCAGACACCCAGGAGAGTTCCTCTGTGGACGATGCTGTTGGAGAGATGCCTGTGGCACTTACAGACAAGCATCAACTGTGGGTGATGCTGCCTTGATGGGAGAGTGTGAGCTTGGTGTAACAAACCCCCGTGCACTCGGCTGACCCCCCAGCCGGGTGCTGTACTGCTCAGCAGATCTCGTGTTGCCTGACTGAAGCCTGAAGCTATGTCTATTATGGTTACGCTGGGGTATAATCACAGGAAGGTCTCCAGTGTGGCTCCACCAGGGATAAGATCCCTTTATAAACATGCTAAATATTTGTTTTATCACCAAAGTCAGAGAAAACCAGCAAAGTAATAATCAGCTTGCATCTCTTGTGACTGCAAACACCTCAAAAAGGGACTTGGAGTATTTTCTATAAGCAGTCATGCACCTTTTATGGTACAACAGAAACATTAAACAATTCCAAAACTCCTTTCTATATGTTATAAAGGTGACCAGTATTATCTGGGGGGAAATTCCCATTTTAAAAGTTCTGTCCCCTGTTACAAATTATGTTCTCGGTGTTCAGACCTTTACGCTTTTGAAGTCACATCTGCTTCTAATTGGTTCAACTCACAGTCACTTAGCTAATAAGAATTTCCCAGCTTTTTTTAATTAGCTCCTCTGATCTGAGCACATTACCTATGTTTTCATGGGTTACGCTTAACAAAAGCAAAATCTAAACTCAAGTAAATGAGAGGAGCTCAACTTAGCAAAGAAATCAACCCATGCAAAAATCCTCAAAGACTGCTTCTCAGTAGGAAAAACATGCATCGTTTTCCACATCACAAATATTTATCAGTATGATAGGAGGAAGATCTTGGGCTCTTCTCTCTCCACAACATCCAGTCCAAAGCTCCATGTTCTCACACTCCCCTAACAGTGCTGGAGGAGCGGCGTAAGCAACACGCTGTTTATCCACCCTTACTTAAAGGTTTATTCCAACAACATAAAGGCTTGTTACTCCTCTTGGACGCCTGCCCAGACCACGGGGTTTGCCAAGAGATCTGTGAACCCCGCTGCCTGGGATGGGAAGGGGAGGAAGAGTAAGACAGAAGTACCGACTCCACCTCCAAGACCCTCTTTGGTCAACGTTTGGGCTAGGAAACGTAGTCGACCCTTGGCTTCCCCCCCTGCAGAGGCAGCGATGTGCTGGTAGGTCTCACCTCGGTGTAACCCATGCTGGCTGCAGCGATCAGGGCTTGCTGGATGGCGTGGCTCTTCTTAAACACTCCCTGCTGTTGCCCAGCCATGGTCCAGTCGCACTGGATCAAGAACTTCACCACCTCCAAGTGTCCTCTGAGAGCAGCGTGAACCAGCGCGCACTGACCGTTTTTGTCCAAATGATCCACCTTGAGAAGAGATGACAAAATAGAATTAAGCCAAATCCATGGGCAAAACGTCTTTAGTTTCTTCAGAGTTTCCAGCCCCGGTTTCAAAATAATGCCACGTGTGCAATATGTGCATTTTTCTGGTAAACTATCCCTTCCACGACCAGAAAACAACCATTCCCAAAGCAACTCTGCCCCAGGCTTAGGCATCCACTTGGCCACAAGTGTTTGCTTTGGGTAAGTTACCATTATTTTTTCAGCTTTCTTCAGACTGAAAGACTGCAAAAGCATTTGTGTCCCGAAGTCCAGCAATTGTGTTTTCTTGTGGATTGAAATCATATGCACTGGTATCATCTCCTTTATCCAAATCCACAAAAGGAAAATGAGTTTGTTTTCCAGATGCCATTTCTTTTAGGAGACATGGAAGTGCCTCAGCTGCAGTCGAACGCACAGTGTGAACCCAACGTGAAGTCAGCAGGAAACAGAGAATTTATTTGGGTGGCTTTTCAGGAGGGGGCATGGCTTTCACTCGGATGTCTGAATACATCAGCTGGGATTTCTAGGTCCTTTCCCAATACCAGTAACTTGGAGAAAACAGCTCAGCTACTGTCCTCCTCCTCCTGGTTAACCCTTTCAGTGCTCTGCAACGTATTACTTTAAAACATTCTCCTAATAGTAATTATAGTTATTTAATACATAAGATGAGAAATATTTCTCACATAATACATTAGTATTATTAATACACTAATATTTCTCATTTCTCAACTTCTGCAGCAATCAGTGTTGCGGTTTTCTGTGCCTTCAAACTAAACCCAGCTGGTTTTGGGGTATTTCCTCAATACAGTTAGGAATACTCAAGGAAAGCTATGAGTGGCAGGACTTTTACATTGCATTGTGTCGCCCAAATATCCCTGTTCTTGGAGATGGAATGCTGTTTCTTACCCATGAGTGTCGGGCAGCCACTCAACTCTCTCAAAATATCCCAACAAAAAGCAGAATTCTTTCTTGCCTTCATACTGTCTTTGCGTTATTACAGCCAACACAGCAAGATCTAAACGGGTCCCTCAGTCATCCTGACTTTCATACCAAAACTATACAAACCCATATTTTGCTTTTTGAACTGAAGCTAAACATATAGAGAAACCACAAATTGTTTCCAGGAGGCGCCACTTCAAAAATCAGCACAATTTTCTTCTTCAACAAAATATTTAAACTTGACTCATTATATACAATTAAAACTCCAAACACTCACCACAAAGCTAAACAAAGGGTATTTTTCTAGGACAAGTCTGATAGAAGTTTTTGGAAAATGTGTCTCAAGGAGATATTTACAGAATGCTGCAAAAGCAACGTTACCATTTTAACCTTGTGAGGTTCAAGGACTTCTCCAGAATATCCTTCAACAGGTCACCAGTGCAGCGTAATTCAGCAGTTCCTACCTCAGACCTGAATTCCCGAATACTAATTACAGACTCTCAGGAGTTACTTAGCTTTGGTGTCAACATGAGATTTTCAAAGCCCCTGCATTTTAGCAGAAAGCCAACCCTCCGCAGCAGCATCCTGGCTTCATCTGCCGGAGGATGTTCTTCAGCATTCCATCCCCTGCCTGCAGCTTCTGCCCTGTCTTGCATAAACACAGAATAGTGTAAATCAGCTTTTAGAGGAACACAGTCACTTTACCTTGGCCCGTTTCTTGCACAGCAGCACAACGATACTTAGAAATCCAGCAGCAGCTGCGTAGCCAAGGGGGGTCAGGCCACTTTCTGAAGCAGCATCTACATTAGCCCCAAACTCCAAGAGCAAAGCCACCATCTCCGTGTAACCCAGGTGAGACTGGACGCACAAAATGGGGGCGTTGTTCAGAACTTCAGTCCGATAATTCACGTTTGCACCTCCTAAAATCAGCAACCGACTGACCTGCCCAGGGAGAGAAGAGCTCCTGTTAGCTGAGCTTCACAATGAGACATGGGTTTATTGCCAGGGCAACGACAGGATGTAAACCAGGGCTCTCTGCACATTTCCAAGCAAATTGCAAAGGACATAAAATGCCGAGTAACGCTTGCCAAATACATGGTCCCATTTTAGGCAGCAGGAACAGTTCAATCTTTCCCCTGAACGCTTGGTAAGTACTTTGAAGGATGTAGCCTCACTTCATTTCAGAACAAAGTCACCACAGCCAAGCTGTAACAGCGAGGGACACTGCATCTCTTGCACAAGGATGGGAAATTAAAACCCACAGCCGGGGAGAGTAACTTTACTGACTGTCCTTCCTGTGGGATCCTCTCCAGGGCTGGCTTTGGTTATCCCATTGCCCTGCCTGCCTTGCACGGGACCTCTGCACTTGGCAGCAGTGCAAAAGGCTCTACCTGATCCTGGAGAGCGGAAAGGAAGGGACATAGGGACAGATGCTGGGCTCACTGAGGCTGTATGGGAAGAGGCCGAGGCAATCATCCTTCCAGATGAGGAACAGTTTGAAATCTCTATCACTGCAATCCTTTCTGCTGTACAGATGGGTGACTTAAGCTAACACATTCATCCTTACCAATGCAAATGGGCACACAGTGCCTGAGCAAGCGTGTGAGCCCGTGCCACTGTGTTTGGCGTCACCTCCAAGTTAGTGCCTGTCTAAGCCAGAGCCCTTTATGGGGCTGTTAAATTCCAACACCAGCTGTTGCATCCCACATCTTTGGGGCGGAAAAACGCAAGTGAACCGTTTTGCACAGGCGCAAATTTGCTATTTGCTTGCTGCCATTAAAAGCAGATCCCTGATCAGAGCAGAGCAAGCTGAGGATCATCCCAGGCAGTGACAGAATCCCAGCGGAACTGATGGCCTCTTCCCAGCTCAAGACGAGCACCCAGCAAGGTGCTTAGTGCTGCCTGGGTAGGACCCCAGCCACGGGCTGGCAGCTACAGCAAACACTGTATGTAGTTGCTGCGTGTCGCTGGGAGCTTCTCGTGTGAGCTCTGAATCACCCCAGCTCTCCTCTTCCTCCTCCTCCTCCTCCTCCAGTACCTTTATGTTTGGGGTGTAGAGATTTCTCAGAGATGCCAAAGCCATAGAAAGACCTTCAGTACTGTAGGAGATCCAAAGCCCTTGCAGGATGGAGGAAGATACCCCAACTTTTTTACTCAGCCCCTAAAAAAAGAAAAGATGACTTAGGTCCAGGCTTACAAATATGCTCAAATACACCAGGCAGATCCTCCAAAGAGTTTAAACGAACAGCCATACACAAGATAATGTGACAATCTGCCACATCTGACCTTTGCAGTGAATTAATAGGCATGTAGGAAATAACTTGGACAGGTACTGTAGCCATCTCCAAGGTTTAGGAAAGGCAGGATTAAACTGTGAGCAACCTGAATCCATTCAGCACCCTCAGAAAATGTCATGTTAAGGAGCACAGCACGCTGCTTCTTTTGTTTTTTTAATAAAGTATACATTCTTCTGGCAGAACTGATTCACAAAGTTCCCTTATTATTCACATGGTTAAACTAGATGACAAAATCTGCTCACAATAAGATAAATTAAGGAAGTCTCAACCACAGCCTAGAACAATATTCCTCTATCTCATGCCAGACTGTCTCCAACCTTTTCCAGCTGGTGTCCATGATCAGGCAATACACAGTATATGGAAGGTCTGACATCTTTTTCCAGCAACACTAATTGGCAGAGCACAGAACCGTTAAACAAGTTTCCCCCCTCCCTCCTATCGAAGGAGCAATAATTGCTCTGTAGCCAACAGATGGGAACAAACGACTGGATTGAAGATGAGAGGAATGGGTTTGCCACTCCAGCAACAAGCCTCGCTGCGCGTTGTGCTCTGCTGTGCGATGTGGGTACGCCCTATACGTTGCTGCTCTGCTATTGATTTACCATTAAAGCCTGCTGTTTCCATGGAAACTGTACAGACATCTTTAATTCTGTTTTGATATGCAAACCCTGATTTCTACCTCCTTGCACGCCATGTGGTCATTTCTATCTGTGCAAAGCAGCAGGATCACATTTCAGTTTGGAAAGTCTGTGGTACAACAGGCTGGTGCGGACGGTGTAGGGTGGTGGGAAGAAAACCAGCAGCAAAAGATGGGATTTATTTCCTCTAAAGGAAGATGTGCAGGAATCACCATCGAAGCCTGCTGCTGGACTCAGCTGCAGACCTCTAATACCTCTGTGTGAAAGATATTCTGAAGCATTGCACCAGCCATCAACAGATTTGTCACTTGAAATGGTTTTACCATAAAAAGAAGCAACAGATTAGACAAGCTCGTATAAATAACTCCATGTGCTTGTTTCCTTCAAAATTCAGGGAGCTAAACAGAGAAAAAAGATCTGCTTGTGTTGAGGCAGAAAAAGCGCTCAGGAATTTTAGCCACCATTAAATGCTGTTTTTGAAACGACACAATACAGGACATTAGAGGTCAATACTAAATTTCAGTGAATTCAGTACGGTATAATTGGACAAATTTTATAATAAGCAGTTAAAATAATTTCAAAATGGTTGTACTACTATCAAACCCATACATAAGCTGTTTGAACCACCACACGGACCAAGGGAAAGAGTGTGTATTTTCAGAAGGGCCATCTGAAGATAATCACATACGCCGTAAAAATCTTAAACTGCCGTATTAGAACATATATAGTTAGGTATTAGTGAGAGACATAAAAGATGACATTTATCCTTTAAAGAGTAAATACATTCAACACCATTATCATTCAGCTGCTGAAACAAAATTGCTCTATTTCTCATTTTACAGATCATATCTTTATTTTCCATCTCTCTTTCCTGCCCTGCAGTGTAAAGCAGGTTGAAGCCTTCAGCAAAAGCAAATCCCAACTTAACAAAACATCACACCAGAACACCATCAGTGGTTTTCTCTTCGCTGGGACCATCTGACACAGGACCAAGGCACGGCCTGACCACGCTTGTTTTATTTGAATAACTTTGCCAACCCCACACAACCCCAGTTTTCAAACAGGCTTTTTTTTTTTTTTTTGTCCTGCACTTTTGTATGCAGCTCTCAGCATCCTTCATTTCTAATTTATTGCTTCCTCTTTTATTTGGCCATCGGCACCTTCAACGCAAGATCTTTAGAAGGCTGTTTTCCAAGGAGTATCAGACACATTTACATACCTGTAGCTACCAAAGCGAGTGTTTCTGCCTGTAACTGGCATTACATTCTCAATCTGGGGATGAGGGACACCCATTTCTGGATTACTGACATTTTAGCTAACTAATTTAAGATGAAATTGAAGATTTCTCTTTGGTTGATTTGCAAAACATACGTCAGCCTGAAGTTTGGGTCTACTTGTATCATTACTGCACACTTCTCTTCTTGCCCTTTCATTCCATGCCAGGCTTTCCAAGCTGGGTTTCCATATGCTCCTGTTAAGACTGGTAATTGCTTTAAAAGACTAAAACATTTGTACTTTTTTTTTTTTTCCCCAAAAAAAACCCCTGTTTGAGGATGTTTGTGTTCAAAAAAGAAAACCAGCAGATCTCAGCTATCAGGTGAAGAGAGGAGCGTGAAAGCTTCTTGCCACCTGTATGACAGGTCATCCTTGTGTCTGGGCATCACTGATTTTTTACACCTAGAAATTCCAAGTGTCCCATTATTACCTTGCACAAGGTACTGGTGGATTTGAACCGACAGGGACTGGGGAAGGACAAGTAAGTTTTCTGCACTGTTTAATCAAAGTTTTTCTCTATATTCAGCTCTCAATACTCTCCGGCTAGACAAAATGCTTTAGCCCTGTTGTAATCCTCTCCTGGCTTCATGATGGGTAAATAAAATGCAATTACAATGGCATCAGGCCTCCATAAATACTTTGAAAATTAGGACCTTTGCATCTGCGGAAAGCTGCTTCATTCAACGATAACTTCAGGAAAAACACACTGAACTGATGACCTGACACACTCCCTACTTGGCAGAAAAAACCATGCCATACTGGTAACAGCTTCAGCAAAAGATCAGACAGAATGAAAAGCTTGAACGGAAAAAAAATATATGCTTGCTTAGGAACAAATACACTCAGTACCAACGGGAAAAAGAGTTTGTGTACATACTCTCGGAAATATTTTCTGTAAAGAATGCTTGAGACCTTAAATATGGTCTGCGATATTCCAGCTCACTGCCTCCTTCAAAACCTAATGCAGCTATTGTTTCACTTAGTAAACACTCACAAATCCTCAGTAAACACTTGTTAAACAAAGGAATAAAAATAAGCCTATTCATGGAAAAGTAAAAGACTAAGTTTTACAGTGTTTCTAATCCACCTAATCCGAACCCTTTCAAAACTTTATAGTACTTCCAAATAACATACTGTTATGCTTATCTGTCACTGAGACATACTATTCTTACTGCGGTCTTGCAAAACCGAGGATTTTGCTGAGTGATTAGAAACAGAAGGCAGTACTGACATTTTTCATATGCTAATTGGCATTTTCTACTATTGTAAATATTGCTCAATTAAATCTGGAATCTACAGGCAACTTGTCCACTTAATGAAAATTGTCATTTGTTTAGAGCCTGAAACCCTGTTATTTGTTTCTATCACGGAAGTGTGAAATGAAGAAGATTTGAAACCAGATTTATATGTAAATGGCAGCTGAACAGTAAACTCACTGCTGAATCTGGTCTTGGGAACATAACTCAAAATTTGAAAATTATACACTGATCAGGTAATGCACCCATCTGGGGTTCTTCCCTTTGGCTCCAGCCATCACTTTCCCAAATGAGGAGACTTCGGTGAATTTGGCACAGGGAACTCAATAAATAAATCCAACAGGACTGACACAAGGCAGAAACTATCTGTTTGCTCTAGGAATATCAACAGGAATGCTGAAGTTCTGAAGTCTATCAAATCATACATAGACCAGATAAAAATACAGCCTCATTTTTACCAGTGTTAAAACACCCACAGGTCCCAATAGTTTTAAGAAATTCTGTATTTCCTGTGACCTGACAAATCCATCCTCTCATTTCCATCTTCTGGTATATGGGCCAAGAGGCACAAGAATGATACTTCGTTTATGCATCACATTGATGCTCACACCCAAGACTGCCTTTCAGTTATCCAGGTCTTAAATGTCTGCGTGAAGAGTAAAAATGGACCGACCATCAGATTTTTAACGACCATCACATTTTCTCTTTACAACCTAAATTTTGGATTCTTCAAAACCACTCCTTTTAAAAGATTTATTTTTTTCTCAATGTTGTTATAGGAACTCATCTTACATGGGAAGAAACCTCTTACGGTAGAAGAGTAATTTTAGGTAAGGAGGCTATCTGCTGAATTTACAGTCTGAAGGACGGATTAATTTCAAGGATTTCTTATATAGCATTGCCAACTTTCTAAAGCTCACTTCTACACGTTTCAGCAGCCTGAAGCAATCACAGTTCTTACAGCAACCCTAAAACAAGAAGAGACTGAATGCTGCCAGTGCTGGCAGATTCTATGCAGAGGGGATGAGGTTGGCGTACGTCTACATTTTAATTTTCGTTACCTTAAAAATATGTGCTTTGAGAATGTGGTGTCCCAGTTCAATAGTTTGCTGTCGATTTAGTTTTCCTTCTTGACGGGAAAACCAGAAGGCAAGTAATGTGTGGCCACTCCTAAAAGCAGAAGAAAGAGTGTGTTAGTACTTGCTTGTTACATCAAAAAAAGAACTTCTGACAAGTTTTGTTTTGCTTCAACCTCATCCAGCTCTGGGAAAACAGCTGGACTGATTCTCACTTGTAAACCACCAACTAATTGCATCCTTTAGTATTGGTGATCACTGATAGCTCAAAACCCCCCAAACGCTAGAGGACAGCAAACATAAAGCAATATATTTTCTATGAGAGATGTAAATTTGGAAACACCAGAGGTACAATTTCATGAAAGCTGAAGTGCTACTTTTATAGCCATTTAGCAGAGGAGAATTGTTCTTTGAAAGCATGCCACCCATCCTGAAGTCATTAGAAAATGACATATTTAAATATCCACGCTTTGAAAAAATGGCCTTTAAATGACAACTACATTCTCCACCCTGTGACACGTCCTGCAGAGAACCAACTTTATTTCCGTGTAAAACCCCTTCGAAACACATTCTCCAGATTCTCCAGTAATAAAGATGCTTCTGGCAACGACCTACCAGGTTGACAACCAAAGCAAATTAACTGAGCTACATGCGGAGCCCTGTTTAAAGCAAAACATCGTAAAAGAGACAAAAACTTCCTTCGCTTATGGTGATTTTTACCAACATTTTTAAACGCACAGACTTCCAGCTTGTGACAATGACAGTTCAGCGTGGCCGGGTCTTCTCAAAGATGCGAGAAGTTGATTCTCCACACGCGCACAAAGCAGACGCGGTACAAAAACGTGAAGTACTGCAAACCATTTCTGGATGAGATTGGCAAATATCTGCCCCTACGGGCACGTGTGGACAACAGCAGGAGACCCAGCAATCAGGGGAGGAGGCCACTGAGGCTCCACACTTGGACCTCAGTGGTCCAGGGACTTGCAGTTTTCTTGGTTTTGCCAACAAGTTCATAGTTTTCTTTAAGCCCCTGGGTACTCCCAAGGGAGTCCTTTTTAACCCACTTTATTTCTGGAACTAAATAAAAATGCGACTACACATAAAAGCAATCAAACCCCTTCCAGCCAAAGAAAATAAAATATGATACCAACTGTGGCTTTAAAAGGGCTTTCAAGGACAGGGAATGTTATTAGCTCATCACTATTTGGTAAAGCAGAAAAGCTCTTCGCATGGCCGAGCACCAAGTAAAGATTACAGAAGACACAAGTTTTCACAACAGCGGGGATTTACCAGCGCATCTCCATCCAGGGAGAATGATCACCCCTGTCTCAAAATAAACTCAGAATAAAAGTGAAAGACTTGTCATGTCACAGCCAGGTGTTTGGCAAGGTCTCCCCCAAGCCCTGCCAATGAACCTTTTGGACTGATAAGACACGGATTCATTTGAGCGGAGCCCGATGACACTTTGACAGACCTTGTGGTACCAGTAAGACGTGGACACGTGCCCACTGGAGGAGCATGATGGAAAACAAAATGCCTTTTTCTTACAAGGCAGGACTTGATCCCCAGGTCTTGATAGGCGAAAGAGCATCACACGCCATTTACATGTAATAAACCAAACTCTTTCACTGGTGAGTAATGCTACTGTGCCTCCCTCCTAAATGCTATTCCAATTTATAGGAGCATTATCAACTCAAAACAATACGCTGCTGTCTGAAAAGTTTTTACTGACTGATGGTACCCTTCACGCTTTGGGTGACTTGGGTTCAAAAAGAAAATGAAAAAAATTGCTTTTTTGCATGCTTTGCCTGTCATGCTCCACTCCACACCCTGGCCTGGCCCACGGCGAGGTACTCGCGTCGGGATCCTGTAGCTCTGCACTCCCCATCACTGGAGAAGCAGCTCCTCCATACGGTGACTCTGCCCATTAAGATGTAGCTTAGATGCCTCAGCTGAGTGCTTAAAATGAGGCAGGATGCCTTGTGCACAGGGCAGTGCCCCCGATTTCCACACATCCGTGCTGTGAGAATTCTCCATATAGCACCAACAGAAGGGACAAAACGTAAAAAGCTGGGAAAACAGAAGGGCCTTGGAAGTGGTTGTAGCACCTTAAGTTATCTACAGCTTGTTGCCTTGTCTGGCTTTCGCTCTTCCCCTCTTTGTTACCCATCTTTGGTGTGGGAGGAGAACATCGGGCCACAGGCTTTTAAAGGGAGACAGACAAATCATTACAGCAATTAACCTCCAGAAATGCCCATGGAAAGGAGAAACAAATCAGAAGGAAACAAGTGACTACGAAACACAGCTTGAGTGTTGCCAGATACAGCTGCAAGTCAAGGAGCACAGCAATTGCTAGACGTTATCCGTCCCTGTTCAGTCAGATTATGAAAACCTATAATCACTCTAATACACTCCAGGCAGCTCAATAGCTCATCGGATCCACAATGCTGCGCTCACGGTTTGGAGCAGAGCCAATGTCTTTACCTCCACTACTGGAAGGTTGGTGGTGCAAGTTCATTCGGAGCCACCAGGTCGCTTCCCTTCTGGGGACAACCAGGGTGGCAGCCACGCACTGCAGCTCTCTGCTCCAGCTCCGAGAGGCTGCACAAAGGGACCCTGCGGCCACCCCTCTCCACCTCGGTTTTTCGCATCACGGAAGAGGAGGTAACGCTGCTTGTTGATGGAAACCTCTTCGAAAACGTTTGGGAAGGCTCTGAACGGAGCTGTAACTATATTAATCTGAAATAGAAATTGAAGATCCAGAAACTTCTAATGTGCCTTTTCTTTGCAGTGAGAGATGGAGTGCAGCTCCCGACTGACACACGAGCCCAGTTCCACAGTTAGCTCCTAAATTGCTTTTCAGCTGCAGCCAGTAGGGTATTTACCTAAATTTAATTATATGCGTGACTCTGGCTGTTATGAATAAGGCATGTACGAACTATTCCAGAATAAAGTACAGTATTCATGAGTAATACATTACCTCTGCAATGCTTCCCAGACCTTGGCTTTGGGCTTGTTGATAAATACTTGCAGTCACTTGTTCTGTCAACGTTAATTGCATGCTAAACCAGACTCCAGCAGCACAGGCTTTTTTTGCCTTTTTTTTTTTTTCTTTTCCTTTTTTTAATACAGCAGAGGATGGCAGTAATGATTTCTACATCAAGGAACTCGGTGAAATGATTTGCTTTGAATTTCACCACTGCAGAGTTTATCATCAGAGATTTTTCTATTTTTAATGTAAGATTTCTTTTTGTGAAAAATTAATAGCGCTGCCAGCTCAGCTCCAGCAGCCTTTGTCTGCTCTAGCAGGCTGCCTGTGTCAGTGCTGGCTCCGGTAGCAGCCAAGGGTGCCTACATGGATGCACACACACCTGTATGTATAGAGACATAAAGATAAATCCTCATCCTTCCAAGTCCCTGTATAGCATGGACTGGTGCCCACGCAGAGCAGCTCTAGGTAAGGCTCATGTAAATGCAGATTAGCTGTGGGCACAATCTGGGAATTCAGCAGAGTGGTCCCTACACATCTTCTCCCTTATTCACCCGAAGCCGAGGCACATACAGCTGTGGGTGCAGAGCAAGGTGATGCAGGGAGGTGGTATTTCAGATACACCCTCATCGTGCCCCCGTCGCCTTGGGCCACAGATGGAGAGGGACAAGGTGTCACTGATAAAATACCAGCGTGACCAAAGGGCTGTGATGGAGCATGGGAAAACACAAAAGAAAATACTGAAAGCTCCTGGATCTGTGCTGCATCTGTACTATTCTATCCCTCAGGCAAAGTAAAATAGATTTAAAAGGGTGTAAAATTACTCTAGTGTTAAGGCATTGCACAACTGGAGTAAAAGACATGCAAAAAAGTGAGAATCAGTCCCGTTTGCTTCTGAACCTACCAAAGTCCAAATTCCCTGATTTACACCCACACCTCCTTCCTTCCGGCTAATCCCATGAAACCATTCCAAAATCCAGAGATTTGACACCGTGCCCAGTGAATCTGGTCTTCCAAGAGACATGTATTCATATTTTATTCAGCTCTGCAGAGTGCAATTTTGTAACTCCGGCACAGAGAATGATGTCTGCTCTGACAAAGCCCCGAGCCTCCTCTGCTTTCAGAAGGATGTCTGTCCAGACTGCAGAAAGGCCAAGCTCAGCTCAGTGAGCTCCTCTTGCAGGATCATTTAATCACCAAAATTGATTTATTGATTCCTGTAACATAGTTTCCCTCTGATGTTATAATTGCGAATTAACTTGGAAGGAATTAACATTATACAAGAGAATTCAAACAAAACAGAGAACGCTGTTAAGCATGCAATACTCTTTCCTACAGAATTAAACACTGGTTTAATTTGCTGAGCTAACTGGGACAGCCAAGTTCAAAGCCAAGAAAAATCTTTCCGTCCTTTGGTTCAGATCTCACTGGAGCAAGACAATCTATGAAGTATCTGATCAAAACCGTTCACCCTGCCTGGAAGTAACTGAGGACATAGCAGCGGCACGCTACTAATTCTAGCTGCTTTCAGAAAGTGCAGGCACACTTCCTGATGAGCAGGATGAGAAACCTGTGCCAGCATGGCTGCTGCTTGCTTTCTTCACCAACAGTTGTCTTATTTGCACTGACCCACTCAAACCATCATCACGACTGCTCACGACACATAGGAATACCCAACAGACTCAACTCTATACTAGAAATCCATCATTCTGGGTATTGAACATGAGATTTCCAGGCTAAAGGGGCTACACATGGTTATCTAAGCTTACTATTATAGTACACATGATACGGCCCCATCCATACATCAACAGATGCATGGGTTAGACTTGCACACCCAGTCCAACACCCCAGTTTCACTGAAGCAGGTCTCTTAGAAAGATGCCAAATAATTTAATATTTCAACCACGTTGTTACTGCCCAGCAGAAGTGATAGACTGACTATTTCTGGTTTACAGGAGTCAAAGCACTGCACAAACCCCCCCATACCCAGTCATCACCCTAACTCTTAGCCTTCCATTACCATTCCCTGTGGCCTTGTGTAGGCTACGCAGTAAAAGTAGCACAACCGTGATTTGTGTAAAGGAGAGCTAAAGAATTGCACGAAC